GGTATACAGTAGGTAGATGTTAAGCTAAAAAGGCTTTTGATGTAGTCACCGGGGTGTCCGGTGCCTTGTTCAAGGGCACCACGGCAGGGCACAAGAGGTGAACTGGGACCTCTCCAAGTACCAGTCCACACTCCATATTTTATGTCTGGTCGGGGACTTGAACCGGCAACCCTACAGCTCCCAGTCCAAGCACCTACTGACTGAGTCACTGCCGGACAGTTAAATAATGTAATGTGTTTTCATATGCTTGCAAGAGGCGTGGGTACAGTGACGAAGGTAAGTTCGTCACTGTGGACTGACGGCTTCGGGCTTTGCATATTGCACATATTTTGAAAAGTGTTCCCTTTCCCCATGTCTGTTGCTGTTGATTGTGTGCACCTGGTGCCCTGTGTTGTCTCCTCCCCCCTCACCTGTGTCTTGTTGGGTTAATTAGTGTGGGTATTTAGGCTCTGTGTTTCCTGTTTTTGTTTGGTGTGTGAGATCCTTGTGGCTGGTGACTGTGCTCACGTGAACAGCGAGATTGAGGCTGTGTCATGTGCCAGTGAGTAATAAATGCCCACACCGGGTTGTATTTTGGACGTTCTGCCTCCTTGCTTGGTCAGGCCGCTCAACGGTCAGTCTCACAGGTACTACTCGTGTTTATGTGGAATAGATCCTTTGCTCAGACATGACTGCCATTAAAGCACTGTACCTGTAGGAACTTGCATTCTGTAAACTGGAAGCAACCCGTGCCCCTCCCTCTAAATCTGACTGGCCTAAGATTGGTTCACATTTTTTAAAATCTGTCTTTAAACAATACTCACGTATCCATATTTCAGACAGAGGAGGCCTCATATTATCCTCAGATTAACTTTAGAATGCATATCCTAATGACTAGTATCGACAGGAGGAATGACTGCAGCAAGCCAAACCAGTTTTTGGATACCTAAATGACAGACAAAAGAAAATAAATCCTTTAAGCCAATACTGAACCCATATGAAATCCTCCAGGCCTGACAGCAGAAACCAACATATATATATATATATATATATATATATATATATCTCTCTCTTTCTCTTTTTCTCTTTCTCTCTCTCTCTCTTTCTCTTTTTTCTCTCTCTCTCTCTCTCTCTCTCTCTCTCTCTCTCTCTCTCTCTCTCTCTCTCTCTCACACACACCATGTATACATCACTTCAGGGGACATTACATTGACTTACATGCATTTCCTGGAGACTTATCCTAACCTTAACCATAGCCAACACATGCCTAACCCTTACCCTAACCCTAAACCTAAACGTAACCAAGTCTTCACCCTAAAATGAATGATTCCTCCATTTTGTCCCCATAAGGGAGGCGAGTCCCTACACGTGACTGTGTAGACAGATTTAGGTCCCCACAAGTATAGTAATGCTAGGCCACACACACACACACACACACACACACACACACACACACACACACACACACACACACACACACACACACACACACACACACACACACACACACACTGAGCTCTGTTGGCCGGCCCTGTGCCTAAATCGCTAAACAGGACTCAACGGGTCAATAACCGGTATCTTAATATAAACAGAGGAGGGAAGTAACTAAGTACATCTACACAAGTACTGCACTAAAGTATAATTTGGAGATACTTGTACTTTACTTGAGTATTTTCCATGCTACTCTACTCACTACAATTCAGAGGTAAATGGTGTGCTTCTACTCCACTACATTTATTTAATCCCTTTAGTTACTTCACAGATGAATGATGTGAAATATAATCAAGTGTTGAATCAGACTTTAGTTCCACCTGGAGTAAATCCACCAGCTACCCTGCAGTATACAAAGTCATTCAGACTAGCTGCACCTTTACCAGCTGAGAACACTTTCATGATCAATCATTATAAAACATATCATATATATTATTCTGAAATGGACCAATCAAACAATCACTACTTTTACTTTTGGTATTTTAATTATATTTTAATGCTAATGCTTTTGTACTTTTACTTGAGTAACATTTTGAATGCAGGACTTTTACTTGTAACAGAGTATTCCTACACTCTGGTACTTCTACTTTTACTCAAGTACAAGATCTGAGTACTTCTCCCACCTCCGAATATAAATATTGATTGCAAAGAGTATGACTAAAAAGGATCAGTTGCAATGACAAAGACAGACTTTTCAGATTGTTCAGCCGCTTTAAGCAAACTCTGCTCTCTTAAACGTTGTTTTCACTCGCTCTTTTTGAAGAAACAGCCCAGCTGACAGACAGAGAGAGAGTAGCTGGGAACACAGTGGAACATTTAGCAGCTGAAGAGACAGAGACTTCTCAGAGGCCCAACCCAGCCAAACCGTGCCCTCCTGGAAGAGTGACAACACAACTTTACTGGGCAAACACTCTGAGTGCACAGGATGAAAGGTCTGGATATGGTATTTATCAATTATTTAAATCCGCTTATCAACTGTAAACTTAAAGCGACAGTGGAGGCCTCGATCATTCAACATAAACACAATGAGAGATGTATTTGATTGATCAGCTGTCAGTGGAAATGATGCTTCACTAAGCGCAGCAGAGAAAAGATTTTTCATGGACCCCGGCGATAGTGATCAAAAATATTCCGAAAAGGTGGTTTTCATTTTACGAAAAAAAATAGTACTAGTATTTTTAATATAGAGGTGTAAATGAATTAACATGAAATATAGAGTGAAACCATGTTTATTATTGATAAAGGCTAGAACAGAAAACAAATGTCTTAGTGACCTGTACTGTTAGAGGTATAATAAACTGTGCTTTCTGCCATCTGAATGGCCAATAACATCTAATGTCCCCATGTTCCTTTTAATAAACAATGTTACATATGTACGCTAAATGTCATATTTTCCTTTATGTGAACACATGAATCACATCAATAATTCTGCATGCATTACTGAACATGGGATTTTTGTTATTCTTTTTTTGTAATTCTTTATTTATTTGGGGTCACATTATATTAAAAGTGCAGTTTTGCAAATCATATATTTTTAGAGACCCGAAAATGACAAATTAAATACAGAACAAAAATAGTAAAATAAAATAAGCAATCAAATGTTTAAAAGAAGTTCCTTGGTTTTCTCCTCTGGGAATAAGCTTCTGTTGTTGAAGTTTGTACAGTGCTTAAACTAATGACAGAGGCTTCAGCACATGCTTGATCCACAGACGTATAGATGTGCTCACTCAGACTGAACATCATCCAGAGCCTCTGTTCCCTACATGTGACTCCTGTCTGCTTCCTGCATGCTGAGAGGGATCATTTGTAGCCTCTAGATGTAAAAGCTATCACATTATTTCATAGTGAAGTCATTTTTAAGCTGCAGCCAGAAGAGCTTGAGAAAACACTGAATGGAGTTACAGAGAGCAGAGATTTCCTAAGCAGGAATGCAGACGTTATAAACATCTCAAATGAATTCTCCTTCATTGAACTATAACAGGGAAACTGCTCAAGTGTAGGCACAAAAAGAGGATGTCTTTCCTATATTTAAATGTGTGTCAAATAGGTGCAGAATCATCCAATGTCATTCAGTTAACCTACAAAAACAATGCAAAGCACAGCTGGAGCACTTAGTTAATGTGCATGTGTTGTTGGTATGGTGAAATCAATGCTTTTTTCTACCTTCTGTCATCTATCTACACACCCTGCGTGTAATATGGAAGTGGATGTATTAATGCTCCACTGTCTGCTTAAACTAGGCTCTTTAACTTTAAGGTCCCATTGTAAGCAATGTTTAAATTCTGGAAACAGCTTTGCTTTGTGGTGAATGTACAGTATAAGTAATGTATTACACAAAAGCTTAATGTGGTAATTGTATTGACCCTGTGTGTTTTTTTTAACAATAAATAGTTACAGATATAGCAATTTATATGTAATTTGACGATATTCGTTTTTTTATTAAGAATAAAACGTTAATTATGGACAATTTAAATGTCTGTACACTCCTTTTATGAATGGTTAGACCATTTAAAATGTAATAATGGAATGTGGAGAATTATACATCTTTTCAGCAGTACTGTTAGTGAATTGGAGAATGGATTTGATTGTTAATAGTATAATAAAAGGGTATATTTTACATGTCAACAACAATAAAGCCACAGCTCACTGCTCACTTTGTTAATGTTCAATGTAGTAAGCATTCATTGTTACTGTGTTGTAACTGTGAGAGTGAGTTTCTGTGATTTCAGCTTTTGTTCCAAATCAACTGCTGTTTACATGGAAATAAATAAGTGAATCTATCAGTTTAAGGTAGTGGAGCTTCTTAGGATATTTGAGGCTGATCCAGAGAAACACAGATGTGAACTTCCTGTTCTTATCAGAGGCATCAATCTAACAGTGAGCTGAAGACCTTCTCTTTTAATAAAGCCCATAGTTAGGGCTGGTTTCACATTATTCCCTATGTTTGTTCTCCTGGGTCCTACATTTGATGGTATCTTATTTTAATTGTATTGTTTTTATTTTATTTGTATTGTCTTTTGTTGTATTTAATTCATTGCATTTTTATTTTACAATCTATCTTGTATTTTCATTATTTTCCTGTAATTGTATTTATTTTTTAGCACTGTCATTCATGTTTGTTAATCTGTCAAACCCACTGAGGGTAACTGTGATATTGGGCTATATACACTTTGATTTGATGTGACACATACTACTTGCTTTAATTAAAATACATTGAGAGGCAATAGTCTACCTAAAAACACGTTTTAATTTCGAGTTCACACCATTGGTTGAAATATGAAAGCAGCAGCAGTGATGTGAACGGAGCCTCCAGTCTGGTTTTATAGTTTGGGTTGATCGTGCCTTTTGCGTCGTGACTAAAGGATACTTATGTTTATTTACATGACCAATCTGTCTCCCTGTTTTAACACACTTTGATGGGGAAATAGTCATTTAAACTGCACTAGTATTTACGTTACCATATTCCATTATGGTCAGACGCATCATAGTCTGAGAGAGCCTAGATTAAAATATAATCCAGAGTATCCTACCTTTGGGTTACATTACATGGCCATGCATTTCGAAGACTCCCAATTCCAGGTCAAACCATTAAAATATTCCATGTTTTCAGGTATTTAAAAAAATAGATACCGAGGTTATCTGGTCCTTCCAAAACTACACATTCACTTTATATAAAAGCGATTTAACGGTAAATCCGTGCAAAAATAAAGTAGGGTAACGCTGGGTTTAGCCTGAAAAAAAGTGGCTCCAGAACTCCAAACTCCACTCATCAAATATCCACTGCATGAAAACCCATCCAGGAATGCAGAAAAGAGTTGGATTACAGTCATTAATCTGCTGCGTTTGCCTTTCTGCTCAGGTATGGGTGATGTGTTCAGGGACTTGATGAGCTCTCTCTCGGCGGAGGGCGGAGTCAGCATTCTGTCGAGACCGCTGTTTTCCCTGAGCTCCGCCTGCCAGGCTGCACTTCCGCCCGGCCTGCCCAGCTTCTTGGACCGTGCTCTGTAGGATATACCGCGTTGGGATGGGAAAAAGTATATGTAGACTACTCAACAGAGGGGGAGAAGTACTCACATCTTGTATTAAAGTAAAAGATGAAATGCCAAAGTGCAGTAATACTCTGTAACAAGTAAAGGCCTGAATTCAGAATGTTACTCAAGTAAAGGCACAAAGTATAAACTAAGCACTATTTTTGACATAGCCTACTTGTACTTCACTTTGGTATTCTTCATTTTATGCTATGTTGAACTTTTTACTCCCCCCATTATATAACACTCATAAATCATAACCTACTGGATACTTTGTTCATGCCTACAGGCTGTAGGCTACAGCAGTAGGCTACGTTAGTCTACTTATGTTTTACAACGTATTCTAAAAAGTAACAATAAATATCTCAACCTTTACAAACTACAACATTAAAATGAAACAACATGTAAAAAGATAAAACCATAATATTATTCTATAGGCCTACTTGGAAAAGGGAGAGATTACTTTTGATATTTGAAGTACATTTTGCTGATGTGTATTTTTACAGTTAGAAACTGGTTAATGCATTTATATCAGAATGCAATTTAAAAAACAGTTTGAGCCTGCACAACTTAAAAGTCTATACACTTATTGCGTGAAGGGTGGGAAGGTAGAAAATATAATAATGAAATGTTGAGAATTAAACATATTTTCAGTACAGGCATTACCAGTGGTGAACTGGGAAATTGAAATAGATTTTGTTATCGAGAAAATATATTTTTTAAATACATGTTTGACATAAAAAAAATGCACAGTTTACGGCTCATCTGGAGGCATCAAATCAGTATAGTTGTCAGAATTGATGAAACCCAACGAAGCCTGAGAGCTTATTTCCATTTTTGTCTCTAAAGAAGTTCCACTGAACACTGTGTTCTCACTGTTCTGGGGCTACTCCTTTAGCCGAAGGATGTCACAACAGGGGGAGGACGGCTTGAAGCCACAGAGTCTTGAAATAGGCTTAGGAACAAGTTAAGCATATGGCATTGCCCATGAGGCTTTGCGTAAATTAAATCAGGAAGACTACCTTTACGTTCATTCATTCTCATTTCTCCGTCACTCCTCAGCCACATCTAGTAAGCTGATTGTGTTATGTTATAGTTAAACAAGATGTTACCTCCAACAGCCAATCACTGTGCTGATGTCAAACTTTAAATCTGACCTCCATCCACCTCCTGTCATCACATATAGCGCATAGGTCCAGCTCTAGAAGTCCTCTCCTCACCAAATGCAGATCTCCAGCATCCTCTTTATCCCATCAATGTCCCCAGCATGTGTGTAGAAAAATCTCTCTATATTGGAATTACTGTTTGCCATGTGAGTAAGCTTGTTTTCTAAGATTTTTCTTAAAGGTCCCATGTCATGGCCATTTCTACTAATCATAATTCCATTGTTGAGGTCTACTAAAATACATTTATATATTTCAATGTTCCAAAATCACATTGGTTTCTCATACAGCATCTCTGTAGGCCTATGTGTATATTCACTCTCTGTCCTAAACGGCTTGTTGGAGCTCCTGCCCCCCCCCCCCCCCCCCCTTCCGAGTCCACCACCGTTACAGCGGAACATCAGTGATCATGTGTCACAATGGCGTTAGCAACCAGAAAATGACACCAGTAATGACAAACAGGTGAGAATGCTGCGTGGGGTCTGGGTGCCGTGTTGGAGGGACGCTGCGTGGCTCGCTGCTGTGAGGAGCGGACAGTGTGAGCTAGCTTGCTGCGGGGGATCTGCGAGACACAGCAACAACAACAAAAACACACACACACACACACACACACACACTTGCAGCCTGGCTGTGAGTCTGCGTGTGTGCTCAGAACAAGCCCAGGACGAGCCCCGCCGCGTCTCGCCATACACCCCCAGTTTCCACCGGGTCCGTCTGCGCCGCGTTACGGCTGCGCCGCGGCGGTCGTAACATCAGTCAATGCTTTCCAAAAGCACAAGCAGTGAACTCCAGGCCCACGTGACTGAACTCAAAATTGAAAGAAACAGACTAAGAAATGACGTAAGCTCCATGATCAAAACTTGCCAAAAAGAATTTCATCAATGTCAAAACTGAGGAAAACAAAAATAAACCCTGTGAACTTTGGAAATTACTCAATAACCAGCTTGGCTGCAGTAAAAAACTCAAAACGAGATTTTCTAACTTAAACATAAAGACAGATAACAGGCTCATCACAGACAAACTGGATGTGGCCAAGTACTTGAACATTTTTTTCACAAACATAGCCACAACTCTTGTAAATAAATTACCCTCCCACTCAGGGCTTTTTGGAGTAGATCACATCATGATCTACTACAAAAACCTAGGGGTACGCAAAGATGATTTCAGTCTAGCAAGGGTAACAACAGCAGAGGTACTCATTAAACTGAGCGCCCTCCAACCTAACAAGGCCACTGGCCACGACAATATCCCCTCCAAATTCCTCAGAGACACAGCAACCGCCATCTCACCAGTCATAGCTCACATAATTAACCTCTCCATAAAACAGGGAAAAGTACCCAAAGACTTCAAAATTGCAAGAGTAACCCCCCTGCACAAAAAGGGCAGCAAATTGGACCCAGGCAACTACCGCCCTGTTTCTATACTTACCTCCATCTCGAAAGTCATGGAAAAAATAGTATATGAACAGGTCGAAAAGTACCTCGCGGAAAAGAAACTAATCTATGAATTTCAATCTGGCTTTAGAACATCCCACTCCACTGACACATGCCTTCGTATTTTGAGCGACCACATCAAACAAGAGGTGGATGAGGGCAAGTACTGCGGCATGGTGATGCTGGACCTACAAAAGGCTTTCGACACTGTCAATCACCCCATTCTGATTGACAAGCTAAAAGCAATTGGTTTTGATAAACTATCGGTGAGCTGGATGCAATCCTACCTGGAGGGGAGAGAACAGATGGTGGAGGTAAATGGTACTCTGTCCCCCCCCCCTCCCAGTGAGCTGTGGTGTTCCACAAGGAAGCATATTAGGTCCGTTACTGTTCCTAATTTATGTAAATGACATGTCATCAGCATGTGACTGCAACTTGTTCCTGTTCGCGGACGACTCAGCCCTGCTGGTCTCTGGCAGGAACAGGTTGCAGGTTGAAAAAACCCTCAGCTCCGAGCTCGGCAGAATCTGCACCTGACTCGCCGATAATAAATTATCATTACACCTGGGTAAAACAGAGTCCATTCTCTTCGGTTCGAAACATAATCTCAGCAAATCCGACGACTTCTCAGTTGCAGTGGGCGACATTATTGTCACAAGTAAGAAGGAAATTACATACCTAGGATCTATTCTTGAGGCAAACCTCTCCTGTGACAAAATGGCATCCAATGTAATAAAAAAAGTAAATCAAATAACTAGATTCCTATACCGGATCTCCTCTCTGGTAAACAAAAACACCCTGAAAACTCTGGCAGGAGCACTCATTCAAGGGTACTATGACTATGCTTGCACGTCATGGTACCATAGCACCTCCAAGGCGCTAACAATAAAACTTCAAACATCGCGAAATAAACTGGTCAGACTACTGCTTGACCTTTCATCTAGAACCCACCTCACCTCTGCCCACTTTGACAACCTAGGATGGCTTAGAGTAGACGACAGAGTACAGCTACTTGCAATGGGCCTGGTCTACAAGATCCACTACACCTCTACGGTACCCATGTACATGTCAAAATTCTTCCCAAAGGTCAAGGAATACCATGATCATAACACCAGAGGGAGCTCCACAAATCATGTGAAACCCAGATTTAGCACAAAAAAGGGGGAATACACGTTTCGCAATTATGCCACATCAAGGTGGAACGCTCTTCCCACAACTGTAAAGGAAAGTAAAACTATACTTACCTTCAAAACCTCTCTTAAAGAGCACCTTCGGGGGAGAGCATTGCAAAACTGGCCCCGGTAATGGTACAAATCTCAACCTGTCGTTCAATGGACAGCTTCCCCCCCCCCCATCTATGTATATACTCACATTTTAGACTCTGTTACTAACTGTATATCTGTAGACTTGGTATGTCTTAAATGTCCGGTTAGGATGTATTAGAACGAAATCTAAAATGAAAATTGTAAACAAGCAATCTGTATGTAAAAAAACCACCTGTATGTAAATTGTAAATAAGCCATCTGTATGTCAAATATGTCTTATATGTCTTACATGACACGATGAATTGGAAATGGGGGACCCTGATGTAAACAAGACGAAAGTCTTTCTCTGGTCTGCATCCCCTTAACAATTGTATGTTTTGAGCTGTACTGTACTGTACCCAATATACAAGCTGTTAATAAACTTTTCAATCAATCAATCAATCGCGGCCACTCTAGTCAATGGGTGCTATTCCAACACACGCGCCACGTTACGGCTCAGACGCGTCCCAGAAGCGGCTCGGCGCAGCGGCTCGGCGCAGCGCTTCTCTAAAATTACCCCTAGTTTCCACTGGGTCCGTCTGCGGCGCGTTACCCCCAGTTTCCACTGGGTCCGTCTGCGCCGCGTCACGGCTGCGCCGCGGTTTTGGTCCAACCTCCTCAAGCGCCATAACCCACCGGACGCGTTTCAGAAGCGTAGCGTCGTGCGTGCAGGCTCGCAGTTTTGTTATTGATTCGGGCATCCTGGACATTTGTACTTCTACAAGAAAGTAAGTAGGCTACGTAGTTAAATGTTTTATTTTTGTGTCTGTTTAAATTGTGTTTATTGTTGTCCTATTTTGTTGTGTTGTAGTCTACAGACATAGTTAATAATAATTGTAATTGTCCCGTTATAAACTACATGAATCAAATATGTGTTGCTGTATTTTAGTGGTAAACAAATGCATCATCATAATTATTCTATATATATAATTTGCGAATATTCGCTTCGCTCTAAACGCTCCTATCGCA